GCCGCAGAGGGGTGGAAGCCCGACGGGAGGGGAAGGCCGCCCCGTCCCCTCTTCCAGACGTCGAGGGCACCCGCCCTTCCCGCCCTGCTGAAAAAGGGCCTCGTGTTTCAAGAGGGCAAAGAATGGTGTGTCCCCTGAATAGCCACCTTCGGAAGGTAACCCCCACAGACCTCTAGAAACATCTGTTTTTAACAAGGAAACCCCCTGAGTAGCACCTCGTGCACTGACAGCCAACATCCCAGAATGTGCCTTCACATTTACCATGTAACTCCCCACAGATGCGAAGTGCCTCGCAGTTTACAGAAGCGATCCCCCACTTGCGGCAAACGGCTGCCTTTCTGACAGAGGGAACAGGCTGTACCCCACCATCACCATTCGCTCAGGTAAGAAGCACCCTGTTAATTCTTTCCCCCTTCACTCCTGCGCCAGGAACATCGTATTTCTTCCACGAAGTTTCCATATCCGGTGTACTGTCACTGCTATTCATTTCAAAAATTAAGTTCTACTGCCGTAAGCATAGTGCCCTTCTCCCCACCCTCCCCCAAGGCATTGCTCTGAGTGTAAAGGAGCTGTGATGTTGGTATGTTCAAGGAAAACAAGGTGTAGGTGGCTATTTGTATGACAAAGGCAAGCGTATGTTCAGCAGCCACTGGGACTATAGGGCATAGCACCACAGCAACTATGAAAAGGAGTGTTATTTTGGATAGTGGTTGACCCTAAGGTAACCACTTTGCTGGCGATGTGAGTATAACCCAACCTTTTGTTTAGAGAAAATTTCTAGCTCTTAGGACAGCGTATGCTGACATAGCCACATCTTGGACAGCTACAGCTAAACCTGAGCCTCCAGATTAAAACTCTGCAGATTTTAAAACCCAGGGCCTGACTCCCATTGTCAACAGAGAGCAGAAGTTGAAATTTATTCACACAAATGAGTACCAAACCAGCAGATGCACTCAGGCTACATAAGCTCACGAGTGCTCTTCAGTAAATGTTTCATTTCCAGTATAAAACAGTAATGCCATTTTTAAAACAAAATCTACAGGTAGAGAGGAAATATTACATCTTAACAAAAAAGATTTATTCTGACTAAACAAAATGTACAATGTTTCCCAAATAGTGAGTTTTCGTGACTCTCTGAAGTCTGCAGATCCATTGAGTTAACTCGATCACTTCTTACCCTGCAGCTTGATCAAACTACTTTTTGCCAGACTTCTTTATTCCACCACTAGCTGCCAAAAGAAACAACACAACTGGTTAGGCAACTGTTACAGAGCTTAGCTACAAATTTAGTTCCTCATAAAATCAAATCCCAGTAGACTGCCTGTACAACTCAGATCCCCACTGGTGAATTGTTTTTGCATGTGTTACTCCTCTGTGTTTGTGATCTCACATACTTTACTCTGAATTAATAACTTACATAACATTAGAAACCAAGTTTCTCCTGGAACCAAATATGCCCCATAAATCTACAACAGAAGTAAAATTTCAACAATTCCTTTGTTCCTCCATGGACACCCTCCATTGTTTATGTCTTATACTGCAGGAGTATAGTCTGGTCAAATAAAATTCCAGGCTAAGGGAATAAAAGCATTGGTATCCCTACAGCAACAAGAGCCCCCAGTTCGGATTAAAGCTCTACAGAAGCACATACTGGAATAACGAGAATTCCAGTTCTCTGGAATTGCCTGTTCTCTACAGTCCCTATTACTGAAGAGACTAAAGCAGAGTGAAGAAAGAAACATATTCACATGGCAACAAGCGCAGCATTTTTTTGTAAATGGTGTTTTTTACAGCATGTTTAATGTATGACAAGTAGAAAGGAAAAAAGAATAGCAAGGCTACAGCAAGATAGGCTGCAAGGGCTGCAACAGCAGGCTTTGCGCTGCAGTATGATTCTAACAGCATTGCCTTGCTGAGGCTCTTGGGAATAGTCTAGCCCTCCCACAGTAACATAATAATCACTATCTGCTTTGGCAAGCATTGGACAAGGACCAGATGACTGAAATTCAGTGTAGAAAAAGGCAAAGTAGTAATGGCAGAAAAGAACTACGAAGAAATCAGTAAGCTGAAGCGCCCTACGCAGAACAAGTTTAGGATGGTAAGGACGCAGAAGAGAGGCTCAATGAATTGTTTTGCATTGGTCTGTAACACCAAAGACATTCTGAGTCCCACACGCGGCACATTTTTTCTATGCTGATAAATCAGAGGAGCTAGATCAATTTGAGATAAATAAACAAGAAATATCCCGAGTCAGTAGGACTGGATGGCACTCCCTTCAAGAGCATCGACAAGCTCTAATATGAAAATGCAGAACTGCTGGCCAAGATTGGAAACTTATCATTACAGCCACTATGTCAGAGGGCTCATACACGGCCAGCACAACTCCCAGACACAGAAAGGGTTCTATAAAGAACCGGGGAACTACAGACCAGCGACTCTGACCTTGATCTCTGGGGAGGTAACAGAGTATGTAACAAAGCAAATGGATAAACACAGTCTTGTGAAAGGTAGCAGGACTTCTGTAAATGGTAAATCCTTCCTCATTGACCTGCTGGAACTCTATGAGTTTATCGTTAAGTCTATGGATAAAGTGAATCCAGGGGATTTCGTATTTTCAAACAGCATCTGACAAGATTGCACAGCAAAGGTTGTTAGTGAAACTGAGTTGCTGTGGGATTGCTGGAAAGGTTCTTCTAGGAGCTTTCAAGATTTAAAGCTTGATAAAGAATAGGAACCAAACTATAAAGGTTAATGGTCTTCACAGAATGGAGAAGGGATCAGTCACATTAATGGACCACAGGTCAAGAACATCTAGAGGGAATAGGCAGGCTGTACCCTTTAACATCCCTAATCCGATCATTGCAAACGCCGGAGCAATACAAGGTGAGTGCCAGACTCACATCAGCACTGTCTGAGACAAAGAGTAGGCTGGATGCACCATCGAGATGCACCCTGCAAACCTTCTGTGACACAGCGTGCTTTACAGGCACTTAAGCAAAAAAGCTGAATCCAGACTAATTTCCAGTCACGGGTTGCTGGGGTTTTTTTTCTGCCAGGAATCTACTGCTCTTAAAGAAATTCATCCTCTAAGTACTGGATTTTTAAAACTTCCAGGGCTGTGGCAAAGCTTACAGACAATATATCTGGCAAGAAAATGATAGTATGCTAAAATAAGAGCAGAAAAGTCTCTGTGCCATCCCACTGGAACAGGTTAGTGTACCAAACACAGCTATACCTGCTAAAGCAGAACCTGCAGCAGTAATTTGGGGGTGCAATTGCATAGTGAAAGAAAAAAAAATTAGTCTCTATTTGTTACTTATCATCTCCACTTTCCATCGACTTACTGGTATGTGTTAAATAACCTAGAGGTACATGCCTTTTAATGTTTGTCAAGCAAAAACATGACATTTTTGAAGCCAGCAAGCCCTTGATTTTTCCTATCAGCATGGCACCTCACTTACTGAGGGGCCCTTTTCCAGCAGCCTTGGCTTTCATCTCCTCAAGTTTCTTTTGCTCCTCCTTCTGCTTTTGTTTAAATGCCAGATCTGTCTAAAGAAAAGAACAACAGTGTGTGTTAACATCTCCTCCCCCAAAAAGTCCAAAAAACACTGACAAGCAATGAGAAACAAATGTAATGTTCTAACAGCAATAAAAAACTGACTGAACCGACGCAGGACAGCTGAACACTACTAAATATGCAAAACCTTGCAGAACTACGACAAAGGGCTTTTTTGCTGTACCAGAACGCAATGACTAAACTTTAACTTTCTACGTTTGATCTTTCTGAAATTAAACAAGTATTGTTTCCCATGGCATAATCTCATTCTGCCCTCTGAAAAATCAATGTTTGCACTAAAACCATTCATTAATATGCCACCAGTGATACTGGCAGCCCAGCACACAAGTGTTGTCTAACAATAAAACTTGAATTATATGCGATCTAAGGAAAAAAGGTTCCTTTCACCTATAAAAAGCATTAATTTAAAAAAAATCCTTCCACGCATATGTCACTATTTTTGCCAGGTTTAATACATTTGTATCAGTTCCAAGAAATCTAATGAGAGTGCTGGCAAATTGTGCAGGCAAGCCAGAAACTGAGCATCCCTGCTAGAACGGCCTCCGGAGTTCAACAGTGCTCACACTCCTCCCATTAGATACATATTTTTCATAGACACCAAGGCTGAAAGGGACCACAGTCTTTTTCCTTGGCACTCAGGATTTTGGGGTAACTAAACTGAGGACCTTGGCAACTGACAGTCTACAGACTCTTTACCAATCCAGGCCATGGCTCAACTACCTTTATAACTGGAAAGCCTTCCTTCTCTTTAAGTTAAAGCTTCCCTCAGTGCAATGTAAGCCCCTTACTTCCCCCACCTATCCACACAGAACAGAGTATTCTGTTTCTCCAGGTTTTCCGCTGTTGTTTTTTTTTTTTCTGTAGACTAATGTCTATTTCTTAGTAAACCAATCTCTCCCATTTATCCACTTTTGTGGGGTTTTTTCTTGCCATGTGTTGCCCCCATGTGCTTGCAGTACAGCAGTGCTGAGAGGAAAGAAATATTATTACATCATGTTTGACACACAAGATTTTGTTTATACATCTTGTATAATTTTCTTCTTTTGCAACACCTGATTTTGCAGGTCCATGTGCAGCATATGATCTAAGGCTCAAATCCTTTCAGGTGGACCTGGAGTTTAGCCAGTCATTCTCCTCGTATTTTATAAGTTGATTATTCTTACCAGAAGGGGACTTAGCATACACAAATACATGAATCCATTTTTTCAAACTTTCTTCTATTTGTTAAGGTTACTTTGACCACTAGTCTTTGGTCCTCGGACAGTCTGTACCCCCTCCAAATTTTCTGTTTTCTACAAAGAGAATAAGCCGCACTGTCAGTAAGTTAGTCAACCAGCCGACGCAGGCACTAACGGAATATTACTTAGACTCCAATCAAAGACAAAAAGCTTGCACAACCCCTCTCAATATGTCCTTGCCGTCAGACACTGAATTGTTAGCAACTGCTTTTAGAGTGTGGCACCCCAGCAAGCCGCATGCTCACCTTCCATCACCTCCCGAAGTGCCATTCCTGCCTTGCCTTTGAGAACGTTACCCGAGCTAGCGTCAAGAACCTCACATCTGCTGGTTTTCTCCTCATACACAGAGCACTGCCCTGCTACAGAACAGGATTTCCTTTGTTTGCCACACTTGTACCAAAATCCATACTGGCTATTAATTTTTACATTATTGTAACTTGGATCCTTGTAAGCACTTAACTGGTTATACCATTTCTCTAACAATAAAGCTTATTTAGAAAGCTATGGTTTGAGGGGTTTTTTTTCCCTTTTTCAAAGGGACATCATACTTGTCTTTTTACAGTCGTGCCTCATCCATCCCCCACCACGCCCAGAAGTAACAGTTTATGCCCATACCCCGAGCCCTTACGTTTCAGCATCTCTAACACGAGATTCACTAGTACCCAGCTGATTTCAACTACTTGATAATCCACGGGGGGTTTTTTGTATCCTGCCCGAGGTGCTTGTGACCGTCGTTAGGACTCGAG